TATGGCCTTCAAAAAGTTGACGACTCTACATGTTTCGACGTTACAACGTCATCCACAGTCCATTGTTGTAAAATAATATATTAAAACAAGTCAAATGTTTATTACACAGCTAATCACCTCACTTGTATACAGAGCCTTAAATCATTGTTTCTTTTTGTCAGAGTTCACAAAGGCTAGTTCAGTTACATTAGAACATAATTGAAAAGACGAATTATTCTCCTATACTCTGTTGTTACAATACAATCGGGGATAATTTCACTTTAAAAAAAGTGCCATGTGCCACTATACATTCTTTATGGCTAAACTTACAAACACAGAGTCTAGATCTATTTGACTATATCTCTCACTAACTTTGTCTTACTTGAACTACATTTTGGATGCATATTTATAAATAACCCAACTGGATGGTGTCAATACCATTGTAGAGAGAGGTAGGCAGAGGATGATAATGACAAATGTGTTTTTAAAGCTCACAGATGATCTGGGGATTGTGGTGGTTATGAGAAATTCCTGAAGTCTCTTTCATGTTCCAAACTATGCACACAATTTGAACACAGTGGATGGAAGCATTGTCATCTCGGAAGTACCTGTCCCCTTTAGGGTGCACGCTAGATGCACTTCATCAGAAATGATTCTGTGGTATTAATTTTGCCTTATCAATGGATCAAGGGGCCAGGGTATGCTAGGAAAACACCCAAAACCACGACTTTACCACCAGAGACTTAGGACGTTACAAGCATTATTTTTGCGAATTTTTTTCAAATCTGTCTTCTTCCACCAATGCAAAAAGGGCTAAAGCATGATTGGATACATTTCGAAGATTTTAGGCTAATAAGAGGAAGTTCAAACAAAATGAAGTTTATAACATACAATTTTAGAAGATAAAATTTGATACAAAGACTAAATTAAATCAGATGTTTTTTTTACACAGATATCTAATATTATTTATAAAATCTGTGTTTTGGGTCGATTCATCTAGAACAGAAAAAGTTTAAGTCATTCTTTATGTAACAAAAACACGTATTTGCCAAAATCATAACTTCACTTGAATATCATTTTTAATGATGTTTGTGTTTAAATAGAGTTTTAATAACTACGTGATTTGAATAATGTGGGTTTTTACATGATTTTGATAGCGTAAGTCGTCAGAATGAAGAAATCTCAACACCGAATACAGGCTGTAGAAAAATCCATGCAAGAGTGTTACAGCTAACGCCATCAGTGCAAGAGGCAAGTCTTATAATTTTCCTCTTTTTGTTGTAGGTGTTAATTATTTTAATATACATGTGTAATTATTTAGAAGGCCAAGTCATTGTGTAAAGTACTAATCAAGTGATAACGTAAAGCTAACAGGGACTGTATCACAACAGTTTTGCTTATACTTTAACATCAAATTATAATCTTCTAATATTTCTTTCTAAAACAAAACAAAGGTTTGTTAAAAATGTTACCCTTTAATAAAACAAATATACTCCTACCCCATTTCAAAATACAACATAGAGATATCTTTAGACACAAAATACTTCGATTTTCAAATGTGTACCTTACATGACCGATAGCTAAACTACTTCGTCAAATATAGCAGTACTTATTCCATACATAAAAAAATTACTTTGAAGAAAGAAAAAAAATTGTACTTTACTGCTGAAATCTTGTTTGGTTTTAAATAAATTGTGTTATTAATTAATAGCTATAATTTTTTTAAACATTTTAGTGTCACATTATTAAACAAGATATTTAATCTGTTACTGATTTTGAAAGAAATGAATTTTGCTACGTTATAGTTTTAATCGCAACCTTTGTGTACCGAGTTTTGTGTGATGATTGATGTAGATAATTATATAAAAGAAAACTACAAATACAATTATTTCATACCTGTCATATATATATATATATATATATATATAACAGTGGGTGAAATTTTGCAAAAAATTTAATTTCCCTCATAAGAAACAAACCTTTTTGTTCACTGTCCCTCACATTTCAGTGATTTCTCTCGAAAATCACGATTGCAGGAAATCAACTAAGAAAATTGAATTCCCTCACACTTGGTGGATTTTCCTCTATTTTAAACCAAGAGTAGTAACATATAAATCTGGTAAAATGATTTATTTATATTTGCCTTGAAATGAAAACAAACTTAAAAAAAAGATCCCAAGGTTAACATACATTTCAAATGTGACTCTGATAATTAAAGATGGCTGCCCACATAAGCATGTTTCTATGCTCTACCAAACCGCATATATTTGTTTTTTGGAAGAAAGAAGGGCAAACTTTTGAACAGCATGTAAGAGAATAAAAAAACAGGGTTGTTATGGTTTGGATAATCTCCGTATAGTTGAGGGATATTGATATTTTAGTCATATTTTCTGCAAATTCATGGTAAATGAGCGACAACTCTGTGATTTCCCATATGGAATATCTAGCCTGTCTCCTAATGAAACCGGATTTCCTTGGGAAATGGGGAGAGGATAAATTTTGACCCCTGTTTATTTATTTATAGAATAATAACTACAACAGTGATATCAGACCCATAGTATCTTGTAGGAAGTTAATTCCTTTAATAACAGAAACAGCTGTAATCAAGTGTGACCTCCTGATGATCCACTCTTGTGGGTTAATTAAATATTAACGTATTCTTACTGCAGTGCTGTTTATTACTGTTTGTTGAGCTATTCAGTAGGATCCTAGCTTTATAGTGTTTATTTTAAGTTTTTTTTTTTTTCATCCAGCTGATCTAAAAATGCTTGTAATTACAGGGTGAAGAACGGTGGTATAGTGTTGACAATGACAATTATGAAGTACAGCCAGTGAAAGTAGAGTTACTCTCAAAAAAGCTTTACATGTATTGCAGACAGTAATTTAAAACATACAGAAAATTGGGACAATTTATTGTTTTCGAATTTAAACAGCGTACAACTTTCAGGTATGCTGGGATAAAAAACATGGTAATCTTGTCACTGTATATGTCAATAATGGAAATAAATATTTATAGTTAATGAATGAAATTAGCATTTATTTTACATTAATTTCATCAATCTAAAACAAGGTCTCAACTAAGATTTTGTTATGTAATGTTAACTTATTAAACCAAAACCAAAGTATGAGATAACAAACATAAATTGTAGACAACACAGGACTATTATATTGTTATAAGTTGTCCTTTAACACCCACTCTCGAGAATACTAAAGCTTTAAACCCACCCTTAATTTTTCACTAAATCATTGATTCCCCCTCTTAAACTCATGTAAGGTGCTGGCCTCCGCTACGGATAAAGTCAACTCATTCCAAAAGTCTATCACCTTGTTATAACTAGAATCTAGTTTGCTTTTTCCAAACCTTTCAGAATAGAGCTCAAAGAAGTCAGATTCCTTTATCCTATCATCTCCTTGGATAATCTAGTAAACTCAATAAGACCAACTTCTCCCTCGAAGATAACCCTTCTAACCCTAAAATCATCGTAATAGTCCTTCTTTGAACCCCTTTCAAATATATTAGTAACAAAAATTGCAATCGAAGGATCTTGTATACTAATGGAGCTTCTCAAAATCCAGGATCGTATTGACGATTTCTGGGCTGGAAGGGTGTCACTGATATCTCCTGACTTTTTCTTCTTCTCATATCGGCAGTACTTACTCTAATTACATGAACATTTTTATCCAACATGGTTTCTTGATTAAATTTCATTAAAAGTTAACATAAAGCTGCCTGTACTCAAGTTTAATTGCTTACATTCTGGATACTGAATAACCCTTTTTGCTGGATGATGACGACATATATATATAAAGGGGGGGGGATCCAATTCAAGAATCTTAAGGTAAGATAATTTTAATAACAAAGCTATTTATTCCAATGCCGTGAAGTTTTACCAATCTCCCGTGTTCACATTATGTTTGATAAGGAATACAAATTGTTTAATTACTTTTGATTAAGCACAAAAGAATGTAAATAGATAAAACACTTAAGAATTCTGGGTGGAATCCCAGGATTCAGAAAAGGCTTTTGAATTGCAACCTTTAACTCAGTATTCTTTATTGCACAAGGAGACCAAAACTGTACACAGAATCCAAGGGAAGTCTAATTAGTAACTGATTTGGATACAGGTATAACTGCCTCTTTTGATTTGTAAAAAGTATCTATTTAAGAAACCCTAAAATTCTGTTACTTTTACTATTAGCAACAGAGCACTGTCTCAATGGCTTGAGTGGCTTATTCATCAGTATGCCAATAATTTTGTGTATCAGATATCCTTAAGGTAACTTCAGAGCAAATCAGCTACTTGATAGTTCAATTAGCCTCTTTGGCCCATGTACCAAGCCCTGATTATCAACTTGCACCTCAAAATCACTATGGGTTTCCACCAGAGTTTCTTGTGGCTTTGTCCTGTCTAGGCATAATTCACTATATGTCAGATCCCAATGTGCACAGATTTTGAAAGCCCTACTGATATAGAGGACAGGATAAGCTGTTGCGTTCCCAGTGCAGTTAGTGCCTAGATGACATTCAGTTTAATTGGGCCTAATCAAGACCCAGCCACTTGTACACATGTTAGAATCCTTGGTCCATGTTTCAAAATGGACCAGGTGGGTGATGCACGTCCTTGCAGAACCTTTGCTGTCAGTATTCAGCAACCCACTTGCACAGTGGAAGGCTTCCTGCAAACAACTGTTGGCAAAATACCACTTCACAAATAGAAAGTCGTGTATGGTACAGAAAACAGGCTAGCTGCAACACCGTTGGCAGAATGGATCTCCACCATAAGCTTCTTTCCAGTACCTGCCCTCATGACGGCACTCTTTGGTCAACCAAACAAATGGTAACGTTCAACAAAGATTACATTTTTGTTTACACTTAAATAAAATTATGTAATGATTTTACTGTGTATTTGACTGCTCAAAATGTTTAAGGGGTAATCATAGTTTTCCACGTTTCAGATGATAAAGCACATCTACTGTTATTAGATAATGTTGGTGGCACCACTGAATTTGTTGTTACGTAAAACAAATTATTATGTGGCCACTCATGTGGTCTGATATGTATAATTCAGTATTGTATAAAAGTGAGGGTTATGTCATATTTGATTTAGTAGTTTATCTGAAGAAGAGTTCCAGTTTGATATTGAAACGTAACAGGTTTCCTATCACAACAGCTGGACATCTCTTTGGTGTTGGGAGCAATATGTTGGCTTGAAGCTGGTAAATCACAACAAGCCACTTTAGAGTGGCTACAAGTGTGGTCAGTAGGATGTTACCTTGCTTTTAAACCACCAGTACAGTTGGCTAGAGATTTAGACAGGACAAACCATATTTGACACCATAAGTTTGGTGCAAATGACAGGCCACGGCAAGTCCTCAACTCAGAAACAAGTTTTATAAAGTTCATTATTTTTGCCAGAAAAACAACAATATGCTTTCCTTTAATCCATTGCAACAAGACAGCCCATCTTCACTGGTGTCAAATGACATCTTGTTCTCAGACAAATGGTGCTTCATACTGCAGTAGGATATGAGATGAAGAAGAGAGAATCAAGCAAGACTGGTCAGCATGCTCACTAACTTAAAAATCTGATTGAACAGTATATAAAATGTTCTGTGAAGGACCCGATTCACTTCCAGGCATTGTTCATGAATTATTTAGATCTGACGATGGAGTAAGCCATATAACCCCAGCATGTCATTGATTTTGATTCACTCATTTTAAGCATGTTGCATTCTTGTCTAATATGATCATATGCCTTAAACAAAAATTATGAACTTAATACTAATGTTATATTAACACATAGAATTATAAGAAATCAGTAGTTTGATATAAATGCATTCTATAAATTATAAATACCTATTATAGTCTAAATCAGGGATCACCAACCTCTTTTCACAGCAGGCTAGATAACTGAGAGAAT